CAATCTCGGAAAACGTCGCTTCTGAAAACAAAGGGCTTCCTAAAACAACGAGAGTAGGGTGGTAAATTAGTAAAATTAACCATTACCTTAGTATAGGTAACATATGATTTTAAATATTGAAATAGAATTCAACTGTAGTAAAATCTTTACGATACTTTATTTCATTTGTAGCTTAGAATATAGCTCAAAAATAACAAATAGAACTCTACTTCACCTCTTCTACTGAACATCGAATTTAATATAACGCCTAAGCAAAATATTCACTGAATAACATTTCACTCAAAACAGATATTAAGGCAGCTGTCATTACCGCGGCATATTTTGATAAATCCTTCCCAGATTCAACGCTAAGTGACGCCTTACATTTTCGCAATTATGCCTAATTCTCAGAATATAAATTGCTTTTAGAGACGAGCTGTTAATTAAATTAGTGGTAATGTATAAAATCCCTATCTGGAAGTAAACACGCTATCCCTTTAATAGTCCAGTAGAATTAGCTTTTAAATCGGAAATAATTCCTTCAAAAGATTTTATTGTTTTAATGGCTTCATTGGTTGCCCATTAAGACTCTCCTAAGTTTTCGACTTCGACGGAGATGTGCTTAAGTGGTGGGGGCCCCCGAAAGAGGCATTTTTTCGGTTTTCCGGATATACCGCGTGTCCTTTACGCTATCAAAAAGTGGTCTTCATGACGGTTGAAGGGCACTTAATCCTGCATTGAATAAGACCAAATTCATATGTTTTGGACAAACCGTTCTCGAGCTAATGTTCGGCAAAGTAGAAAATATACGTATAATTAATGACCCTCTCCACGTCCAATGGTTTGTTACCCACAGGCTTCCAAGTCTTGAAAAGGGCCACCTCAACCAGTGTAACCCTATCAAGGCTTACGAGCTTGATGCGCCTATCCTTGTTCGTCCCAGCCGTTCCTTAACTGCGGTTGCTGGTACAGGAGGGTACAAGGAAGAGAGGCAGCCACATTAGGTAACACAGAGTCGTTCAGGAGAGTGTCAGGAAGAGGTGCAGCAACCGCAGTTAAGGAACGGCTGGGACGAACAAGGATAAGCGAATCAAACTCGTGAGCCTTGTTAGGGTTACACTGATTAAGGCGACCCTTTACAAGGCTTGGAAGCATGTGGGTAACAAGCCATTGGACGTGGAGAGGGTCATTAATTATACGTATATTTTCTACTTTGCCGAACTTTAGCGCGAGAACGGTTTGTCCAAAACATATGAATTTGGTCTTATTCAATGCAGGATTAAGTGCCCTTTAACCGTCATGAAGACCACTTTTCGATAGGGTAAGTCCTTTACGCGGTATAACCGGAAAACCGAAAAAACGCCGCTTTCGGGGGCCCCCACCACTTAAGCACAACTCCGTCGAAGTCGAAAACTTAGGAGAGTCTTAATGGGCAACCAATGAAGCCATTAAAGCAAAAAAATCTTTTGTAGGAATTATTTCCGATTTAATCAATTTTTGTGTTTAATTCTACTGGCCTATAAAATGAACGACTCTGACTAGAGTAAACATGATAATACTAGTAGTTAAACGTTTAGGCTTAGCAACCTTAGCTGTGAACGTGAATGTATCAACGTATGAGAATATAATGGACATTTAAGTCTTAAGTTTACCTCGTTAACCTACGAGTAATCAGCACTACATAATAGGCAAAAAACAACGTCGACATCTACAACTTACTTTAAAAGTAGGTAACCCTCATAAGTAGACCAAAAACTTCTATAGAATCCTAATAAATAACTAGAGCTCGCAATTTTGGAAATAGGTTTACAACTTAATTCTAACGGCCTAATTTTCGTACAGACCGTAATCAATGTCACATGTAGGTAATTTTAAATACAAAAACAGGTCATCCATCAAAACATATTTCATCGCTATAGCTATACTAAACAAATAATATTAGGTACGTATAGAATTATAGTATTTTACAAATTGCCTCGCAAAGTTACATGGAACCACGTAACTTTCACAGCCCAGAAACTTTCAGAAGCATATTTATAACTTTATGGTGTTTTTCACGAAGTTTTGCGGATATTGTTTATATTTATTAGCTATCTTACTAGTTTAGGTCTTGTTATTTCGTTGAGCGTGCAATCACCTTGTTACAAGTAAAGAAAAGCAATAAATAATACCGAAAGGGAAGCCGTATCGTGAATAAATTGAATTGTGAAAGGCTTTGTAAATTGACCAGCCTTTTAGGGCTCCATTTGCGTGGGTGTTGACAAATTATGAAAAGTTATTCATATTTTTTAAAAATCAAGGAATATTATACCTCTAAAACCAAGCAAATACCTATTTAACTTAATTATTTTAGAAGTTTAATAGATAACTCTCCTGAGTCTCCCTGATTAGATCAGGGGCTAATAACCCCAATCCCAATATTAAATAGCGGAATGCAATTTTAAGGTCGGGTGAGCCGGCCATTTAAGGGCTAAAGATGTGAGGGACATAACTCGATCATGTCCCTGATAGAGAGTGAAGTTTTCGGCCATAAAGTTATTTAATGGTTTCAGCTTTAACTGAAAATTAAACGTCTTCAAATATTTTACATCCATAGTTCACCCGTTGTAACTATACGAGTAAGTACTTAAAGCCTAACACCAGGGTTTTACTCGTAGCTCCTACATAGCTCCAAAAAACGCAAAATGTAGAGATTTACTCAGTGCATAGCTACTACCAAAGTAAAATGAAAAGTGTTTTTAAGCTCAAGTACCTGCATACTTTCTGACGAGTTGTAGTGCGAGTATGCCCGACGACACCAGTCAAAATACCTTGTATCTATGGAAGCATCGTCACGCTTCAATAACACCGGCTGTGTGCCAGAAGCTTTAGCTTTCACCAGAAAGGTTAGTGAACTGTGAAGTACCAAAATACCGTAATTTCAGGGATTTTACTGATACCAAATCATGCGGCCGAAACCGAATAGGTATCTGTCAAGCACTAATAGCCCCTATAACTATGTAGCTACCGCGAAGTTTAGCAGTCGACTATTAAATTAGAATTAGAAACAGCCTACTCCGTTTGGGCTCACTCCAGTCAAGTCGGAAACTTTTGAACGGGAGTTTAATATGTAAATAGCCCATTAGGGTCACATAAATAAAACAATACAAGTCCGTCTGTCACTTTCTTCAGTTAACTTTGGAGAGTCCACAATATTTAAATAACAGCGGTTCAGTAACTGTTTTTGAAAGACGTACTGTCGTAAAAAGGTTTATTTCCAACGACCACCACTAAATCTGCCACCACTGCAGCACTGGGTGGTGGTTGAAACGATTATCTAATATTTGGCGAAAAACCCCCATAAATAGTCACGGAGTAACTCTTCATGTAGGTAAGGTAGATTAATAATGTGGTATTAGTAAAAGAACTTGCACGTAAATAGACGCATTCCTCCCTCGTAACTCTCGTCAATTTTCTGATAGGAAATTCCACTGGGAAGCATAGACAGAATTCACAGTTTGAGGTTTTTGCTACCCTATTATTTGCCAATATTAGTAGAAATTCGCCACCTTAAGGTTGTCACGAAGAGATCCCTTTTATCATCAAAATACCAACTTGTAATAAGAAGGTAAAAATAATTGTCTTGTTTAAGTCGTCACTATACAAATTGACTGTAGTCAGTAGGGCAATGAAATACCTCGCATAGGGTAACTTAACTATCTAATAACATGTTCTGGGAATTTCAATCGGATTTATGCTCGAGATCACTTTCTAATTACGAATATCTCATAACCTATGTATAAGCTTAGAGCAAGTTTGCTTTGAAGCACCTGCTTTATGGAAATGTAATGATAAGTCGTATAGCTAGCATATCAATTTGCGTAACTGATACTAGAACTAGTTGGAAGACCAATCAAAGTGCCAGCCTACAGTACTTAGGACAAGGAAACTTAGGTAGTCTTCGAACCATAATGGATGATAGGTAGGTACACCAAGTGACTAAGCATGAAACCTTTGATTAGTCTGTATATTCTGTAGTTACAATATTTAGACTAGGTAATCACAGGAGGGAAATAAGATACCTACAGAAATTGAGTTTATTAGAGCCTCGAGCGTCGTTTGCCAATATTTGGCCCCTACTTAGATTCTCTAAGACCACTTTTTCTTCCTATTAAATTTTCCATTTAGTTTACCTCTTATATTGATTTCTATCCATTTTTCTATCAATTAACTACCGAGTCTAGTAAATCATCATCAACTTAAATAAACATCAATTAGCTAATTTATGTTTTAACAGCGGGGAGCGCTTCTACATACGCCGCCCTAGAGATAAACATGCTTATTCGAATGAAATCGATTGGTAATGTAACAGAATCGTTTACCGAAGACAAACGGTCAGTCGTAACGATGAAAAACACTATCCATTGGAAATCCCCGGGTTCTTTATTCTATAATAAAGGTTTACGTACCCAAAACGGCTGATAGTGGGTAAGTGGCAATAAAACAGCCTGGCTTAGGGCGATCATTCGTGAAGCTAGTCGGGCTTAAATTTTGGATTCATACGTCTATTACATTGTCATATTCCAACGAATCGGTCACGAACGACCGTGTTTTTATAAAATGACTAGCGACCGGCCCCGGCTTCGCACCTTCCTCTTGAATCACTCTTATAATTGTTTCAGGAATCAAAATAATTAATGTAGTTTGCATGGGCGTACTTTTTTCCTTCATTTTTTCCCATACGAGTGGTGATTCACCACTCGTATAATAATAAGTTACCTAGAAAATGTTAACGATCCGTATTTCGAGTCACAAAACATTTTTTAAAGTAAGAAACAACCGGGTCGGATCAAAAACCTTTCAAGGTGAAGATCCTCAAAGCAAGCCTAAACGAATGTTTGCCGAGGCGCTTCCCAAGAGTGCGGTAACGGAAAGTGTTTGTAAACTACTCAAACACTCCTACGCAATGAATGCAAGGGTACCTACCTAAGTACCTACCTGTGTGAAGTACAGGGCAGAACAACACAAAGACAAAAATCAAGTACAAGTCAAAAAATATTTATTATTATAAAATAATTGAGGTAACAAAGTATCCTTAAACCTATGTCAAGTCCATATCTCCTATCCACCAAAACACTAAACTGTTTTCGGCTTCTTCTGAATATTTCATATCTGTGATCTCTTTATGCACTACACCATTAATTTGCCCATTTTCTTCTTTCTTCATACTTTCAGGCTTCAAATTTTCGTCTTCTATGGTGTTTATGGGGTCAATGAAGTGATACTGCCCTGAACCGGTAGCCAAGATCGGTCTGAGGGGATGTATGGAGACACTGTTGCAGCAATCTCTGTGCAGTGGGAACTGAAATAAATAAATAGCAGTTTGAGGCAACTAATATGATTTAATTAATTAAATTAGTTACGAATTGTAGAATCTTAGGCTGGGTTGCACCATCTTACTTTAACTATGACAAACGTCAAAAATCTGTCAAAATCCATACAAAAAACACCAGTTATCGTCATAGTTACGATCAAAGTTAGGTGTTGCAACTAAGCCTTAGAGTGCACAACACAGCTAAGATACTAGTGGCCACTAATCTCTAGGCTGAGCAATTATAGGGAACTTTGCTAAGTACGTTAGCCAATAATGGATTTAGGCACTCCATACACCATGGTAAGGGTTGGTGGTTAAGGATAAAAAAAATTACATGAAGACATGCTTCAGCATTAAGGAGTAAGTATTAAATCTGTTTTGAGAAAAACAGAATCCTGTACAGTGTACGCAATTTGGTTTTCTCTATTTACCTTGTAAGTTACATTATCTCCAATACCCTCAGTTACATCCAAACTTTCCTTCCAGTTGGCTTGTTTAACGTCCCAGACTTTTACTATTCCATCAGTTCCTCCTGTGACTATGTATCTTCCGCACGGAGACACATCAAAGTAAACTCTTTGGTTTGTATCGACTGCTCTGGACAGTATGTTTAAGGGTCGCCGATAGTACCGTATGTCCCAAACCAGCAATCGGTGGTCTTTTCGAGCGCCAGACACAAGTCTGAAGCCATCTGGTGTGAATTTCATGTGGGTAACTCCTCCTGTTATTAAGAATTAATTTAATAATGATATTTTATACAGTGATGTGGCAACAACACACACTGGGAATAAGCAAACTAAGAAGCATTTATAACATTTAGAAATAGTTATATTGCAAAACAGCATTCATTGCAATTATGTAAAAGCTATCTGTGCTTTTTTAGCTTAATGTTGTTTTTTTTTTCTAATTAAAACAAGCTCTAATAAATGAAACTGTACCTCCATGACCATGCATATTCCCAATACTTTTATAGTTTCCTACTTCATTGACATTAAACAAACTAATTGTGGTGTTCCATGAGCCTACTGCCATCAAATTACCATGGGTTGCGATGCATGATGCTGGATTTGATATTTTATGCTCTACATAGTCTCTACCAGGCCTGTAAGTAAACAAAAATACTATTTGGTAAACAAACTCAATAAAAATAAAGAAGTATGTTAATAACAGCTAAATTGAGAACCTCCTCCTTTTGTTGAAATCGGTTAAAAATGTATGTAACCTTTTTAAACCAAGGTTATGGAAAATGTACCAACCTTTCTACTTCAAATGTGCGCAAGCATTTTTTGTAGCCTGCCACAATTCTAGTGCCTTGTTGGTTAAAAGTTAAGGATAGAGCTGGTTCCATTTCATCTACAACATCGAATCCTCTGTATGAGCATCGCAAGGAGCCATCAAATGCATCCCACATTTGTATAGGGCCATTTTGCTTTGTGGTTATCCAACTGAAAAAATATTTTAAACATTTAATTATGAAAATTTAAAGCGAGAGTAGTAACAAGGAGCTGGATGGGATATAATTCACCAATATTTTTTACAGATTTACTGCAGCAGAGCTTAAATTTTTTAAGCAATTTTTGGCACTTTAAAATGTTGTAATACATACCAGCATGTCTCTGGGTATCCACTGTTCATACCAGGGTACCAACAAAAATCATAGATCATACCAGCTTCTTTTACGTGAATCACTGAATCTAATATATTTATTGTTCTATTATAGGTAGGTGTACCTTCATAAAGATCTCTAGGTAATTCACATAGGTGCATCCCATCGTTATTCACTACAGTCAGACAGCAAGTGCCGTCGGGAGACCACTTGCAGCCTCTTAGATAAGGCTGGACGTCGTTTTTGGCTTTATAAGACCGTGACCAAGAAGAACTGCAAAGTTCAAGTAAAGTTTTACCAGCAAACAGAGTAGGATACTCAAAGACCCTTGCTGCACCGAGATTTTCTTCAGTTGGTTCTGGCGGTTTATCGCCGTTTCCATAATGACTAGTATCATCAATAAGCATTTCAGAAGGAAAGCTTTGGCCCGACATTGACGAAATATCAGTCTCCATTGATATTTCCTCCATTTTCACAATTATTTCATTTTCTATCACCACAAAAACAACACGCACAGTGTGAAGCGGTTGATGAATGAACTTGTCAAAGTTGTCAATGTCAGTCTTATCAATTTGTGTGTCTATGGTCAGTTAGGCTAGACGAACACGAACCAAATACAGTGTACAATAAGTATCACGTTATATACTTTCTAATATCACTTGATTTTAAAACTGCTGATATTTATAATTATTGGCAACATTGCAAATCAGCTGTCACCCCTTCCATCATCTGTCAATTTTCATTTCATTCATTCACGAATCGCAACTCGATGGAAAACGCGAGTTTTGGAAAGAAAAATATTTAAAATTGTGCTTCAATAACACCTAATATTGATTAGAAACGAATTTATAAAAATGGTACAATGATAAAAAAATATCTGCGCGAAGTTTTTTGTAAATATGTTTTTTTATCCGTGTATTGTTATGTGAATATCGTGTAAGTTTTAGATGTTTATGTTGAGGTATTTGCAGATGAGGCTTAAGTGGTTCGGTAGCGGGTTCCGTTTGGCTGCGGTGAATTTGTATAGAAGCAAGATGTCATACACGGAGACCCCGGCTAAGGCTTCGTTGTGCTGCGAGGACTCTGGCGATGTCCCTCCTCCTACGTTCGCGATGTACGAGGCTCTAAAGGACTCGTGCCAGAACAACGCGACGTACTTCCAGCCGGACGACAGTGAGAACGGCCAGCGCCTGTACCAGGGGTTCATGACGCTGATAGACCACATTGACACCGTGTGGCCCCTTGTTGATCATGTGAGAAGGGTATGTAATGTTTTGAATATCCATTTGAGATGCTAGTACTGATCTAATCTCTAATATTGTAGTAGCAGTTGCAAGCTTTAAAATATTATTATCTTCACAAACTTATTCACTGCATAATACTTTTGCTGTGCAGTAATGCAGATAATGCATCAATGTATTTAGGGTAACCAGCCTCAGCATTAAGAAGGCAAATATGTATATTTTGTATAGAGGAACAATGTTTTTTATCTATGAAAATTCCTTGAGTAAAGGACAAACTCAGTAATACTCTTTCAGTCAGCTAATCTTTTTATCTTTATTATTGTGTTGCAAATTTTGTCCTTAATTTAAAACGGTTTTAGCTTTCAAATCATCTACCTACATACTTTGTTTTGATATATATTTTTATATCTTGTTTTGCTTCTTGGAATAGATAGTACCTACATTCGGGCTTATGAAGTTGCAAATTTTATTAATAAAATGTGGTAGAATGGCTAACTGTAGAAACTACAAGGCCAACTTTAATTAATATAATGCTGAAATGTGATGCTATATGATATGCTAAGAAAATACACATAGAATGTCTATCCTTGAAAATCTAATTTAAGAATTCCTCATCATTATATTACTGAATACCCTTTAAGCCATAAATACACCTATATTTAAATTGATCTAGTAATACATTTTCTTTTTCCTTCCTACATCTGGCAATTACAGCAAGAAAAAATTGGCAGCTGTTTCTAAAACACTATAATGGCTCAACACAAGGTCTCACGGGCCATTCTCTTGATGTTTCCAACAATAATCATTTGTTTAGATTATATCAATACTGAACTGTAATTGTGAAGTTTTATTAATTAAATTAAGGCCGGGTAGCAGAGAAAATGGCGAAAATGAGGTTTTCATTTTTCATTTTTGAGGTACTAAACAGTAAAATTAAAGGCTAAGATTTTTATTGGGCATAGTTGAGGATATTTTCTAGGGCTATTAACGGATGGAAACACGATTTGATGAAGTTGACTCGATAGAATATATTCCCAAAGTTACCTCTATTCGTTTTCTATTTATGGTTTTATTTTTAAAATAAGCGATTTGAGATTCTAAATCTTTTACTAAACTAAGGTTCAGAAATAACTTGAGGGCTTTTAACGGATGAAATTTTTATATTGCGTCTTATTTAGTTACTATGTTAAAAAATGTGGAAAAAATCGTCCATGACGGCTTGGACAATCTCAATCAGTCGCGCGGTGGCGCTTACGGAGGACGGACGCGTGTCAGTTTTTTGGCCGTCACAGTATAATAATATCAGTGTTACTGGAGAAAGCTTAAATTTTTGATAATTAAGAATTATCAATTTTGTCTACCTATTGAAATTTAAATCGTTCGCATCCTTTTAAACGAAGACTCTACTCATGATACATAGTACATTCCTCAAATATGAGACAAAACCGATGAGTTAAAATTACATTTTAATAGTACCTACTTTTACTAGTACCTAATTTTAATACTACCTAGTCTTACACTCTTTAGAAGAGCACACTGACACAAATAAATAATAAAAAATACTGTCTAAGGTCTGTAGCTAAAGGTCTAAGCTGTAAGATAGAAGAATCTTCTAGCCATAAAGATGACAGATGCAGCAAATGTTAACGGATTTNATTAGAAAGTGAGTGTGACGCTTGAACGGAAGGAAGTCAACCTAACCTAACCAACTGCGTATTTCTAAACTGCGTATTTCTATACTGTGTAGCCGCGAGAGCTCTTTGGCGCGCTGTCTTCGGCGAAGTATTGCGCGCGCAGATTTTGACAGCGCGAAATACCTACTTTAGCAGAAATACCAAGCCTTAATGAAACTTTCTTCTCATTCAAATAAAAAATATATTTAAACATGATATTAGTATAGGATTTTGCATCCTTTACTAATAATAGATGAAACTGTTGACCCACATTTCAAATAATTAGAACCCCATTGGGATAAACTCTCATTTAAATAAAACAATACTTTTTCAAGCATTTACCATAATCTTAAACAAACTATTACACATAAAGTTCTAGGTTTACGTTAGTAATTTTCCAAGACTGATCATGTTTATTTTCTGTTTTAAAAACACTTGCTGGAGAACACAAGTCTGCTTGTTATGGCATGTTCTAAACAAGATTTATGTGTATGTGAAGAGATTACTCGACATTGTTTGTATGACATCATACACATGTGCAGATTATGAACTTTGACTGAGCATTTCTTCGTTATTTTAATAGTGCATGATTAATGAATGATGATAATACCTAGTGTTGATTTATGTAACTGTTTCTTATTGAGTTTTATTTCTAATTATATCATACGTAATGATCTTGGCTGATGGAGATAGGACATTTAAAAATTAGTAATTGGTACTGAAAACTTTTAATGTAGGTATAATTAGCATGTAGGTAATTATTAAGAATTAAATGTAAGTTAACTTTATCTTTTTAACTAACTATGACTATAATGTAATTATAACCATTGTTTACTTAATCAGTCTCCATTGTTGTAGGTGGCTCCAATGTACGATTTCGACGCGAAGTCGCCTGGCAACGGTTATCGCAGCTTCGTCTCTGTCGTGGACTCGTGTGTTCTTCACGGTCTGAAGCTGAGCAGACAAGTCTGTACTGGCCGAGATGCTCTGCTTTTTAGAAAGGGGTACTTCGTTAAGTAAGTATGATAGCCATCATATTTTCATGAATAAGTGATGATTGATTTTTCGCAGTTGCGTTAAAATATGCCTGCGCTCCATTTATTTTTATTACAGCTTTGAAAGCATGGTTCCTCATAAGAGGTACTGTAAAATAAATAAATCAATATTTAATCTTAACCCCTTTCCCAAAAAAATCGAATCAACACTTATGGTTTTTAGCATTTCGCAGTCAATGCATCGAAATCGGTGATTCATTGATTATTATTATTATTCATTGTTGATGTTCTTGGATTAACGACTTGACTTTCAAATCTACAATAATATTAAAAACACTAATGTATAATCTTTAGAGGTCGCGCATTATTTTAAAGGTTGCACTATCGCGTTATTCTTATCAGATTTGTGATACATACAATAGAAAGTGAAGTGAAGCGTTGAAAAGCATCGCATATTCAGTTTGCATATAAAATAGTTGCATCGATTCGGTGGTCTGACATTCCACGACCCGAGGATGAAATACGAAAATACAAGGCGACCGAACCGTGATAGGTAGGACTTGCTATTTTGTAGAACTTGCAAACTTCTAACCAGAAAAGATAACTTTGCTCTAATTCAGCAAAGTAGGTACCGATAGGCTGGTATTTGGTTCATGGGCGGTACCTACCCCATGAACTGTGCTACCCAGGACTATAGGAACACCTGCCTTAAAATCCTTAATATAGCAGTTTTTAAGATATTTTTAACTCGTTAAGCCTTTGTGGTAAGCTTAATTATTACCACAATATCCAGAGGCGGCGGCGGGGTTCGAAGTTTCTAGGATATCACCTCAAAAGAGATTTTGCCAGTCCAACATCGACACCAAGGGCTACTGTCGCTTAAATGAAAGTGAATCAAATACTCGTTACTTTAATCCTATTTCATTCCCTTTATGTAATAGGGCAGATATATCAGACCCAGGGACCGGTGGCCTAGAATTTTAAATGCACGTTATATTGCTATGTATTAAGTATGAACCAACATAAAAGCGCAGTTTGGAACAGGCACTAGGTATTCTTTGTATACCCAAATGTTCTCTTACGCATTGGCATCTTAGGTACGTGACATTTGCGTGTCTGCTACGTGACTATCCGTACCTATACGTGACTTCCATTGCTATCTATATTCGCAATCAATTTGTTTACATTACTGCTGAAAAAGATTTCGCATTTCACTCCTGTGATTCATTTTAGCTAAAATTGAGATATTTTCGATGTATGAGGCAATTCTTAATTACTTTGTGCTATTGAAAATGCTTACCGAACCGACTAATCATTTCCAAATTCGTCGTTTTTGAGATCATAATGTAATAGAAACAAGGTTGAAAATGTGTTAGCACGTTTTGATTACATTATATTTCAGCGAACGAAGAGAGTGCTTTCTTTATTACGGATACTACTATTTTATCCACAACAGAAAGCTCTTTGGCCTGCATCTCACCTGTTAGAAATTGATGATCAGGTCGAAGATAGAAGAACTTTACCCAAAATCCTCAATCACAGAGCAACTGGATATCTTACCTGTAACTGCCGAAACACAATAATATTGTTAACGTTCTTATTTATTTACTTTTTAGGGAAATCGAATCTTGCGGCCAGCTTCTAGCGTCCTTAGGGACATGTCTCCACCACCTTCACACGTTGCTATCCTGGGCACCGGCGGGAGACCTGTTCCCTACGGAACCACACTCACCAGAGGAGCTGTTCTCTCAAGCAGACACGATCAATCAGTATTGTTTCTATGGAAGATGTCTCGGATTTCAAGTAAGTGAACTAGTTTGTTCATCAGTATTTTGTACCTATATCTACCGCAAAACCACAATGCAAAAGGCAAGTGTGCTAAAGTTCGCCATGCTCAAAAGTGAAGTCGGAATTTGTAACGAAACCTCCTAAAAAAATATCTAGTGTAAAAAATTTAGACAGAGAACAGGTTAAAGAAAAAGAATAATGTTTAAAAACGTTTCCCTAGAGCAGTGTTTTTCAACCTGTGGGTGGAAGCCTCTATAGGGGGTCGCGAGAGGCCGTAAAAACTACCTCAGTAAAAAAATACAGTAAAGTTTTAAAGCTAGATTTATCCGAAATCTAATGATGCAAATGCATAAATGTTGTATAGATTGAAGAATTCGGTCCCTGCAACATCTTCGTAAAAGGCATGAAAAATAGCGAAGGGTCGGGGTCGCAAAAATTTTTTTCATGCTATGGGGGTCGCGTAATGAAAAAGGTTGAAAAACACTGCCCTAGAGCATATATCACCTCGCTTTATAGCCTCCTAGTAAAACTCAAAGCTACTTATCTTGAGTCCAGCTAGAGTAAAGCACATTAAAAGTATAATGCACCTTATTATAAGGGAGATAAGTAACCGAAGATCTTTTTCGTTACTCCAGAGACATGTTAATATCTTAGTACTATAATGTATGTGTAAGGTCGTTTTGCTCATAGTAACTTAATTGCAAAAGATAACCCAATGATATTAAATCATACCGTATCAATTATGTGTGTAATTATATTGATTACATTATAATTAATGCGATTAATACTCAATACTCAATACTTTTATTGCATAACCACATTAGCATTCACATTTATAGGTCTTACAATTTAGGCAGTTATACAATGTGGACCCAGTTAGGGCACAGCAACTTTAGGAAGGAGACAGAACGACGATCTTACTAGTCAAAAGAAATTAATGTACAGATTGAGTTTGGTGGAAATGTCATTATTAAACGTTTCGATAATTATAAAATAAAGTTAGAATTAATGAATTATTAAAAATGGAAAAATATTGTTAAAATGTCATGCTAATTATTGTCAAGTGTTGAAATGTCATGTTAAATATCAAGTGGTAAGCAGTTAGGTCCTACTAATTTATTATTCAGGTCAACATTAATAAATAATAACCTAAAAATCCTTAAATGTCAAGAAATTTTCAAAATAAATATAAATAAATAAGTGTATAAATTAAATAATGTCAAAAATGTAAAATCATGTCAAAAATGTAAAAACATGTCAAAATGTTAAATCATGTCAAAAACTTATCGTCTAAAAATTCTTTCAAATTATAATAAGTTTTCTGATTAAGTATATTCCTTAATCTATTTTATTGTGCGTTACGTGTAACGTGTGCTACTGGTCGCTTATCTATCATCAATTTCTCTTATGGACAGGATAATGATTATATTAAATATTTCCGTTTAACCTGACACTAATGCACAAAGTAGCACAAAATGCCATGTTTTCTTAGTATCACAGTTTTACTAGGCCAAATTTTCCTCTTTATTAAACTTAACAGTATAAGATTTTATTTTAGTTGAAACTTAACAGTGATAAAAAAAAAACATGGCTGATTTGAAAGATGGTGATTCTGGTGCCATGGACCTATAAAAAAAGTCGGACGGATTCTCATCAACAAAATACTGTGACATTAGGATACACCAGCTTGCCTGTACGTACAGGCCGGCACGCACACATTCACATCCTGATACACCACTTCAAGTGCAAACTTCACACAGTTGACACATTTAAGCAGCGAAAAAACAACACGAATACGACATGTCTTGTGTGATGAAATTGTGTAAAAACCGTTCTGTTCGAACAAACAAAAATTAAGGAATCACATTTCACAGGCAAAATAATAATCCAATCACTTATTTCCCGACATTAAAATATTGAAATTAATTGAAATCAAACGTCATTCACTCGAAAAAATAATACGTCAAAGACCAGTGTTCTCAGTTATTTACGTGGGAAAATTACCCGAAATATGGGAAATTAATAATATTTTAGGACTTTTTAGTTATTTATTACGCATACTATGGAAATAAAATAATTTATCATAATAATTGTGTTTTAATGGGATATATTTTCATAGGCAAATTTGATCCTTCCCAAAAATGTGGAACTGCAAAATTCAAATTTTCTTACATTGATTGCAAGTCAGTGTCAGGTTGTATGTTAAAAAAAATCTATCAGAGATAATAATAATATATTGATGATGCATAAGATTATGATTATAATGTACACAAGATTCGTAATTTGTAACTGCGTGAATCATTTTTGATCAACATTATGTACATACCCTGACACACTGACTTGCAAACAATGTAAGAAAATTTGAACATTGAAAATTTCGCGCCTACCTCAACGCATTCATCTTTCATCCTTTTAAAATGGCACGGAATAATTCTGTCTACATTTCCAAGTAACATCTGCCGATCTATGTTTTTCTTAAAATAAATGGGTAAAATGTTTTGGCTAACATGGCATCCCTAAATTCACTCACACAATAGACAAACGCCAAAATTTTGCGTCACAGTTTTGTTGTAGCGCGAGTTCCGTCCGCCTTTTTTTATAGGTCCATGTCTGGTGCTAGCAACCATCAAGTTAAAAGAAACACTTCCTTGGTCAATTAAAAATAACGCATTTTTTGAGCTTTCAATGTTGGTCTAAGTTGTTGTAGCCTGATTTAGCACTATAATCACCACCTTTCCAAGCAAACCGACTTTTATTTGTTAAGTTTCCTATAAGAATAGAATAGAATAGAATATTATTTATTTGGCACAATACACAATAGGTACATGATATAGGCACAATACAAGATTAAAACATAGAAAAAAACAAAAAAGAAAAATAAAAATAGATTTTAAGTGCCCTGTGCCAAAAAGGTCCCTGACTCAGCATTAGTTATAAAATTATACAAACACAAACTTCACTTTCAGTTCCTACCATCCATGCGTGGCATCCTCAAAGGCATATCCATATGCATGGCCGGGTTCTCCGAAGCGTACTACAGCCACGGGAACCTCATCAGCTCGGTCTGGACCGGAGGACAGTACCTCATCGACCCCGAAATGAGGGCACGGAGAATAGTAAATATATCCCAGTCGGCCAGTGTCGAGTTCTGCAAGGCGTTCTGGTTTCTTGCTGAGAGTGGTATGTGGATTTTTTGTTACTATGTAAAGTTGGTATCACATCGGACTATACAATTTTGAAATTATGATGACAGCAATTTTATGAAAGAGAAGAATTTCTTCTTAAAAAATCACAAGTGTTTATTCTCTGCAAAGACTTAAAATGCTATGATTCCTACCTGTCTAGATTCTGGGTGATTATTTTACTGCTTTGTAAGTCAGGCATACAAAATATAAGCCATTAAGCATCTTTATCACGCACTTGGTTTAAACATTTCTCAATACCATATTAATTTAACAATACAGCCCTGTGTAAGCCTTGTTATGGTACAATAAATTGCACAAGCTGCCTTTTTAGTTTTTCACTGTGACAATTAGTTTGCTCAAGTGACCGCACATGTGCGTTTTTTGAAGCAAACTTCGCAATAGGCTAGTTTCCCAAAAAATAACTTTTAGTCCGTCAATTACATTATCAAAAAATATTGGACACGTATACTTTTATTTGTCAATCAAACAAGTAATTAAGAAGTTCGGCGTGACGTCATAAAGTGCTACACTTCTAGCACGCCTTGACGTCACGGGCCTCTTGAATTTTTGCGCGCTTTATCTCTTTCAATTTCCATCAGTTTGAAAAGTAAAAAAAATAAGTGTCGAGTATTTTTTGATAAGTTAACCGACGGAGTAATTCAAACTCTTACTTTTTTACCCAGGTGTTTCCTGGGTTATTTTTCCCTAGTTGATTCAATCTTTCAAGCTCGCCAATCACTATTTCGCACTAGTTCGCCTATAAACCGCACATAACTAACACTTGTATTTTTGTAGAAATAATGAAGCGAGTGCCGAGTCTTATGTCTTCAACGGTGGCTGTAAATAAGCTTATCACGATACCCCCGGAACCTATCACGGTGACCACGACTGAAGGCAAAGAGGTGACAGTGCTGCCCCCTACGGTGCATATAGGCTTGCAAGGACTAAACGTTAGGCTGATCAGTGTCAATAAACGTATGGGAATGGTATGTGAAACTATTTGTATGACTAAGGCTGGGTTTCACCATCTTACTTTAGCTTTGACAAACGTCAAAAATCTGTCAAACTCCATACAAAAAACACCGGCTATCGTTATTTAGGTGGTGCAACTCAGCCTAAGATTAGAACATTATTTTGAACTTAAGCTACTTGTGTATAAAGTTGAAAATCAATTTGCTGCGTGGCATTAGGATAGAATATTATTAAGTGCTATTTCTGTGTACAGTTTTTTCAGGTGATAGTCTCATTCACTCAGGTGCCTTAAACATAACTAATACTAGATTTTTTTAACTTAATGGAGATATTGCACATGGGCATGATGTTGTACTAAAAAAAAATATTCCTATCGCCAGTTTCACGGACAAAAGCAATTTATATTCTTTTCGTGTTGCAAACCAATTGCATTGAAAAGAAAATGTGTGTTAATTAAGTATTTACTGATTTTCTCACGTTATTAATTGTTTATGTAACCGACACGAGTCGATGACAGCTCTCTGATAAGTTATGTAGCTTTAGTTATTATAAAGTAACTAAAATAATTTTGTAAAAATAAATAACATTATTCATTATTAAATAGACCTCATAAAGATAGCGGGAAGGGGCTGGATGCCGGCTGCCACCAACCGGCCATTGTGGAAATCATTGGGGGAGGCCTATGTTCCGCAGTGGACGTCCTATGGTTAAAATGATGATGATGAATTAACATTATTTGCTTTTTAGGCAGGAGAAGGCACATCAACCTTGCCCCCAGCTGAAGGCATAGTATTCCACTGCCACGGAGGGGGCTTCGTGGCCCAAAGCTCTAAGTCCCATGAGACTTACCTCCGAGAATGGGCGGCCAAGCTGAATGTGCCCATACTGTCCATAGACTACAGTTTAGCGCCGCAAGCACCCTTCCCAAGGGCACTGGAAGAGGTTTTTTATGCTTACTGCTGGATGGTGAATAATTTTAAGGAAATCGGAACTACGGGTAAGTCTTAATAAATTGTACAAGAATATGCCTCTATCTTAATGTCCTATTATAATATTGAGTCCCCAAAAGAGAGACTTCAAGAAATTTCGTATTTTGTGAACCAATCAAGTTATTTTCAACCTTTTAAGTACTTCAAAATATATTTGACTAGGTCCTATGTCCCCTAGATGGGGCAGAGGGCGTCCACAACAGTCCTTCATCGCGTTCGGTCTTGAGCTTCGCGTTTGATCTCGCTCCAAGTATATGACGCAAAATAGTCACGCACACCATTCACAGAATTGACATTTGCATTTTTTTTTAGGTAAACGAATAGTATTTGCCGGCGACTCGGCCGGCGCGAATCTCATAGCCGGCTGCACTCTAAAGATCCTCTCCACCGGTCTTCGAAGACCAGAAGGGTTATTCATGGCTTATGCCCCACTATTGGTCAGCTTTATACCTAGCCCAGCGAGGCTACTGTGTTTGATGGACCCACTACTGCCTTTTGGGTTTATGATGAGGTGTCTGAAAGGTAAGACTGGAATGTATTTGGCTTTCTTATACTCAGTTACCTTAACTTTAACAGTAACTATAATCGGTGTTTTTGGATGTAGTTTTACAGACTTTGATGTTTTATAACAAACCTCAAAATCTGTCGGTTAAAGTAAGATGATGCATCCCAGCTATATTGTGTGTAAATTAATTATGTATGCTTGTCTATTGCAATATATTTCAATTTTTCTTACACTAGATAAACTGCTGTCTGTACTATTTATTTATACTTTAATGCCAAAATTTTAACATTAGGCGAACTTAATGCCATGAGGCACTAAGTTCTATGTGTGAAGATTTTGAGTACAAGGTCTTTTCGTGATATTGCTGGAGATCACTTATTATAGGGATTTTCAAATTTTTCTTTTATGGGATAGGCAAACTTATTCCGCACACTTAATGCTTGATTTTAATAATATCAAAATATTCCAGCATATGCAAGCCCGAATACGAGTAAAAAGGACGACAAACACGGGGCTAATAACACACAAAATGCCGTGTCAAATGCGACCACGCCTCTTGACAGCAACGGTTTTCTCAAAGTCAGCCCGTCACAAGGTAAGAACTTACTGTCTGTAGGTATTGTGTAGGTACCATATTTTCTAACTGTGATTTATAATTATGAGCTGACCAAATACAATGTCCTCCCACCGAGGAGGCCCAAGAGCATACTTATAAAGCTTGTCCAGATAACGCGTTTTTACTCGCGCGTTTAGAATCTCGCAATCATGAGGTCCTGGAGGTTATACATTCTGTTCATATGCACTCGCGCGTTTTCAAAAGACACGGGAAAGTTTTCAAAGAGGCAAAACGCGCGACAGCACGTGTGCAGAATGTATGAAAATCTAGTATCTTAACGATAGCGCGAGTACAAACGCGTAATCTGGATACGGCCAGAAAGGGCACGTAGTTTTAGCGTAGGCCAGGCCTGTTCATCTCCGCGAGTTTACATCGAAAACAAAACACGCACGATGGCCCACCTACAAGATACTAGGTATTCGACAAGGCCTCACATACGAGCGAACGCACGCGTATTCTTGTGTATGATGGATGAAAATAAAGAAAATGGTGTATTAAATACTGTGCAGTATTTAACTGCCTAAATAATAATAAAAACACAGATAATGTACTTTTTTAAGTTGCCTCAAGACACTGAGTGAGAGGTAAATAAGTACCTAGTTAATATTATTCATGCTAAATCATGTATTTCCTCCGCCATTTTCCGCAGTTTGGCACCTCACGTCACACATACGTAGATTGATTGTGTACGAGCTGCTTACTGCACATCTTTAGAATTGATAGAAATGATACGATTTTAGACTTGATGATTTGCTTTGATTTATTGATATTGATAGTATACGAGTACACGCCGTAGCGGTTGATTGTGCACTGATTTGATGGATGAAAAGAGATACAATTAGGGTGAAAATGCTGATGGCGCGGAATGTGCGGTCAAGACCGTACAGATTGACCCAATGAAGAATGCTCTCAAAGTGAGATTGATATACCTACCTACTTATTGTTATTTTCTAAAAATACAAAAATTTGCCAAGTGCTTGTCGTTCCAAGCGCAGTGTAGGGTTCCGTAGTTGTCAGTCGTTACCATAATATATTTCATAAGCAAGCAATTACTTCATCTAAAGTCACTTTTAATATTTTCTTCTAAGGATTTTTTATTAAGTATGAAAGGACAATGTTNAGGTTCTATTCGACTGTACTTATCTTTTTTGTAAGTTACCTAGCGATTACGTACGTTTTTAAGTACTGGATATTTTTACACTGTGTTATTAATGCTACAAAGCAATGCGGCGCTAATGGTGGCTCTGGTCTGTCCACACAATCGCTCAACATCACTTTGGCTGGTTTTTGTACCACTTATGATTTACCCCCACTCTCTTTATTACTATATCTATATGATTTTTATCCTGTTCATCTTTTAGTCATTGGATTATTGAAATGAAACTTTGTGGTTTAGTCCGCGTTTATAATTTCAGTCTGCCATAGAAAGACCATGAGAAGTTAATTCTTCACAAACGTAATATGGTTAAAATCTAAGCTATTATGAAACACATGCTATGTCTTACCACAAAAACTAAAAAAAAAACTTTCAACAGTCACAATTTTTTTTTTTTAATATTGCGGTAACAAGGAAAACCTGTCCTTGTCTGTAATTGCATGTCCTTCGTTCAATGTAAATTTATAATCTTACGTAATAAGCACACGGTTAAAAATGCTTACATTTTAAATCTTAGCCCCTAAATGATTACATTAACTCACTTGCTAACCGTTAAGTTGCTATCCCTCCAATAAAATAGTAGAACCCGTTTAAACTGACACAAACGTCCTCATAATCCAAGTGTAATGCCGACATCTACTCCGCTCCGAAATTGCTCCAGAACTTTTAATGGAGGTTTTCAATTCATCAGACACGGGTTTAAGCCAATTTTAATTAGCAAACGCTAAAGCTGGCTCGGAAGTGTATCGTCGTTTTGGATAAAGAGTAAAGCTCGATTCACACATATCAGTGAAGTCACAGTTCAGGCTCATTACCGGCACAGTGCGAAATATTCTTTCATACTGTTTCTATGAACGCATCCCCACTTGTCAGTGTCAGTGACGACACAGTGCTCTCAGTGTCAGTGCTGACACCGGCAATCACGGACGGATATTTTTTGTCGGATCACGGACGCCGCTGCGGCATCAAAAACAAAATAACTTACTTCATAGTTTCTGGACAAGAATATTGAAACAGCTCTCTGACATTTTAAAATATTCAAAATATTTCACTGACGCATCAGTGCTACACTGATACTGAACTGAGCGGACACTGTGACGGAACTGTGGCTTCACTGATATGTGTGAATAGAGCTTAACGAGCCTGTCCCATGGGGACAACGCTTCACGATATAATGAGGTGATATTTATAGCGGGTCCATATTCGGTTGCATAAAAAATATTGTCATAATTTAAGAGTGCATAAAGTTTTTTGGCATACTCATCATTTCGCATAACGTTCATACAGAATAAATCATAAGGCATATATTTTTTTGCCATAACCACTTTTATTATAATAATATTTTAGTATATATTTTTTTTGTATTCTTGTTTTTTTAATAACGATTTCTAGGCATAACATTTATAGGCATCTAAACCAATGCCATAAATATTACCATTCATAATATATAAAATACCATAATTTTCACAAATATGAAATATAAAAATGTTACACATAAAATATAAGTTAACAAATATAAATAGACAAGCAAGCATGCAAGCAAGCAGCAGGCATGCAATCAAACAGCAAGAATGCAAACATGCAAGCAAGCCTGCAAGCAAGCAGCAAGCAAGCAGCAAGCAAGCATGCAAGCAGCAAGCATGCAATCAAGCAGCAAGCACGCAAGCATGCAAGCAAGAAGCGAGCAACCATGCAAGCAAGCAGCAAGGAAGCATGCATGCAAGCAAGCAAGCAAGCAAGCATGCAAGCAAGCATTAGAATTGCCTTATCTCCGGCGCTGCGGGAAGCGCGGTCCTTCCGCTCTGGCGTAACTATATGCTCGCTTCCGCAGCTTCGGCTTGCTGGTCGCCTTAGGCGACCAGCCTCAGCCGCTCCAGCTCGCATGGCTGCCGGATATATGTTACAGCGAGCGAGGACCGCACTCCCTTCGCGCCTCCGGCTTTTAAATTACACTCTAGTATAGGGCAGACTAGTACCACGTGGAAGAGACCACGGCCAGTCGGGATCAACGTAATTTCAGACCAGGCAAGCTTAATGTTGTAAAAGAAATGTGGACTGTATAATATGTGCGTTATAATAGATAAGAGGGATTCGAGATCAAACAGAATGTATTTTTACGAGCTTAAGTTTTCTAGAGACAGATCAAAAATTAAGAACAAAAATGACAATGATACAGAGAATTTAGTTGTTGCAAACCTATAGGCCCAAAGAGTATAAAATTGGCTCGTTCGCAACATCACAAATACATAATTATTTACTCTTCAATGTTGGTTGCTTATAGACAATATTTATGACTTTAAATGTTATAAATAATTAAATTATGTTTATAGTATTTTATTAAAAACAAACTTTATGTATATAAAAATTATGTTCTTTACATTTATGATTATTTAAATTATGGTATTTATTAAAGATGATCCCATATTGTTGTCATTGTCTATATCAGTGTTATGATCACAATTCTTTTTATTTTATTCATGACCTTCGACCAGTTGGACACATTAGATAGCTTCTTGTAGTATCGTGCAATATATTTTTAACTTTTAATTAAAATCTAGTCATACTGTAGCAATTTGGACGATTTATTTTATTTACAAGATCGGTATCTTATTGTCTATGATGACCGCAGTCAACATCACTATTACATGGATTCCTAACAATGAAGTACGGCATTGCCTTGTGCCGATTTTACATAGATTTTATCGACACAAATTATGGAACTTCATAGGATATGGAGCAGGCCACGCCCTAAAATGTCCGGATGTCGTCATAGTATTATGGAATACATATAAAATACTTTTATTATTTCATTTTTTAATCCTCAAGTGTCCGTTACAATCTAATTAATATTTAAGTATTCAAAAAGTAAGAGATTAATTTTGATACTTTACTGCTGTGCCCAGGAATCTAAGGCGGTTTCTGACAATGTCCTTTTACACGAGTTAAACGACTATTACTCTTGAACTAACTGATCTATCTTAACCGTCATAGTTTTCCTTAAAAGTTCATGAAAAGCACTATTATTATGAATTTTTCCAGATTTTTCAAACCAACACTTTAGTTTTTAGAGGGGGGGACGCCATTTTCGAAAAAAAAATTATCACTTTAAACTTTAATATTTTGCAAACGGATCACTAAATCAAAAAATAGTCTTAGTCTTAAAACCCCTAAGTCATTTTAAATGACCTATCCAACTATACCACACACGATGGGGTATCAATGATAACAATAAAACTTTTTAATATATATTTTTTTTAAATTTCTATATTTAAGTGAAAAAATGTTTTATTGTCATTAATAATAAAAGAAATCAGTCAAAAATAGTTTATTTTAATTTAATTTTGTACTTATAACCAATTTCAAGCAAAAAATATTTTTGGCCGCCTAAATCATTGAAATCTACGTATGTGCGTCACATCATTTTACCGAAGTCAGCCCTATAGCTTCGGCGCAGTGCCGATCACTGACGTTTGTCAACAAAATGGTGCTTGACTCTTGAGACAGGCTAAATTACACCATATTGTTAATGACATTGTGCATACATTTTTTTAAATACTTTTGCGAAGTAAAACTTCTGTACGTAGTACTTATTATTATTCTGTGCGTAGGACCTAAAGTGTGCTGTCAGAGTTAAGATGAAGTGCTTAATGACGTCATGCCTGTCATTTCATTGATTGTATCATTACCCTATTACAGAAGGCATAAGCGAGGGACCGTCGTCTTTCGAAGAAGTGTCTCCGTCTGACCTGGCGGAGCTGCAAGCCCACAAGTCGGGCAGCGAGCGCAGACAGTCTTCCGACACTACCATCAGTGCCGCTTCGCTGCAGAGCGAGCACACTGCTACCGGTACGCTCGCTTACCGTATCATAAGTCATAACACTTTGTTCCTTACTTAATCCTACTAATATTATAAATGCAAAAGTTTGGATGTCTGGATGTTTGTTACTCTTTCACGCAAAAACTACTGAACGGATTTTGTTGAAACTTTACATACCGGCTATAATTTATGACGATATGTGACCAACTTAATTTCAATAAATAAATAAGACGTGGGTAAAAAGCGCCATCTATCGTCATTGGTCAAAATCTACAGCGCTGGACAAAACATTTTGACGTTCGTAAATTATTCATGCGGGGGGAAGCCGTGAAACGCCATCTATCAACATTATCAGTAATTAAACGAGGTCCACGCGTACGAAGTCGCGGGCGGCGGCCGCTAGTTTTCAATAACATACAAATCGTCACCTATTCAAGTTGTAGCGATATCTTTATCCAATATCGAATATGTATCTTTAGTGGTTAAGGTGTGAAAATATAATATTCGTCACCATGTCCACTGCTGCGTAGTGTATAGTGTACTAGAACAGCGGTTCCCGAAAGTGCGGAACCCTGGGGTTCCGTGGAAAGGCCGCAAGGGTTCCGTAAAAAATATTATCCCACGTTTCGTGACCGACGTTGTTCGCGCGCTCCGACTTGTTTACGCACAAGGGAGGGGCAGGGCGTGCGGGCGGAGTAGTACGGGGGTTCCGCTAGGAAAAGTATAATCAATTAGGGTTCCTTGGCAAAAAAAATTGGGAATCCCTGTACTAGAAGACACATACGCTTATTTGTACGCCTGCATACAATATCGCGTACGCGACACTGCCGCTCCATCGAAAGAGTTTGTTTTGTGTGTAAGCTAACGCTAACGTGCGCATACGTCGATTGAGTCGTAGTCGTACGGGCAATAGACGGTAAAGAAATTGATATTTCACAGAAGGTTTACGTAAATAAATAATTAATCAAAATACATATATTCCCACTAGTTATTTATTTTTTAGCGTTAAGAGTCGCATCTCAAACTAATTTGAAAATTATAAATAACTTGGAAGAGCAGCACGGCAAGTGGAAGGTCGTGGATTCAATTCCCGCCCTAGGCAGTTCCATTTTTTCAAGTTATTTAGCTTTTGCCCGCGGCTTCACTCGCGTGAAATTTCGTTTGTCACAGATCGTCATAAATTATAGCCTATATGTTATTCTGGGTTATAAACAACAATACTGTAGTTTCATCAAAATCCGTTCAGTAGTTTTTGCGTGAAAGAGTAACAAACATCCAGACATCCAAACTTTCGCATTTATAATAGTAGTAGGATTTTCAAATATATTTCCACTGTCCAGGTGTGACCCCGCCCGAGGACAAGTCTCAGCAGTACGTGTCAGACTTCTTGGAACGTTACGTGCTCGACAGCGACACTGACTCGGAAGGCCGCCGGATACCCATCATCAAGCCCAACAAGAACCGGGACGAGTCGCATAAGTGAGTACTGTACCTCTAGTAGGAAAAACTTTCGAGTTCGTTTCGTTGCGTATTCAAAGTGTCATCGAAAAATTTTGTATGAAAAATTAAACAGCGCCCCCTAGGGCGGCTATAATATAGGGGGCGCTGTTTAATTTTTCATACAAAATTTTTCGATGACACTTTGAATACGCAACGAAACGAACTCGAAAGTTTTTCCTACTAGAGGTACTGTAGTGTTGTCAACGTATTCATAACTTCTTGTTGCAGTAATAGGTTATTTGCCACCACCAATCAATGGACTAGTTTCCAATTTTTTTCTTATAATGAATCTTGAAAATATAAGTATAAGTTATAATAATTGTGAAAGAATCATGAAAATACCTCTACAAATACAAAAGTTACAGTGCCCTAAAGTTGCGCATAACAAATATTCGCGCCATTTTGATCGGTGCAGTCACGACAGTCATTCGGAGTAAAGACAGTAAATCACCCCTGGTCCATTGCTGTTGACAGATCCATTTTTTTTTAAATCTAGTTTTTTATTTTTCAGCCAGGATCACTCAAGATTCTTTCTTAGTAAAATTGTGTAACCTTTTTTGACATATCCAAGACCTGTGGGTCTAGACAAAGTGCAAATTATAATCGCAAACCAGTCGAAATTTTTTTTGACGGATTCGGTTTTCGATTCGATCAAAAAGTGCGTTTTGTCTAGGGGGGCTGACCATATTTAAAAAGAAAAGAAGACTTTGACATTATAATGTCATTCTCGACAATGCGTCTCGAAAATAAAATAAAAAAATATATTTTAATCCCATTCAGTGAAATCTAATGTTTTCAACATCACGAAACTTCTCCATTGACGTACTTTTTTAAACTGTCAAAACGAGACTCCCATAGATTTTTTATGACAATACAAGCCGGTGACGTCACTATTTTGACAACTCAAATAAACTACTTTTTTCAATTACAACACAACCAAAAATCTTAATATACAGGTAACTTAAAATTAATTAAGTTTTTAAGACCAGAATGAAGTGCCTTTTTAAAAAAAGTTTGAGGAGTGGATGGCAAATACCCAATTGTGAAATTAAACTGTTTTTTTTCTACTAAACCTATCTGTACTCATTCTTGCTCTGGTCGACTGACACATTTTGTCAAGAGTTTGACTTAAAAATACTAATTTAACTCAGGTTTAATAAATTTTTCACGATGCTAACTTTTTCAGGCGATACAGAATACAGTTCAACAAAATAAGAGTGAAGTTTTACAAACCAAAAACAAACGCTTGTGTGTTATTAATATTTTTCTCCTATGTAACTAACTAACTAACAATTAATAACTTTCAGAGAAGGAGAATCAGAGAATTCAAGTACGTTAGTAGGCGAGCCGCCGCTCGTAGACGACTTAGAAAAAGAAAATAAGAAAAGGATAAAGACACGGTAAGGAATGTCATGTAGCATAATTAAGTAAGTTGATAATTGTTAAAAAGAGACAATGCTCCATTAATTCTTAACTTTGTATAACCTTGTCTCACTTACTCGCGTGAAATACAGGGCCCTTACCATGAACTTAGATTAAAGCCTTGGGCAGACCAAACGCGGGGCAGTAGCAGCGCAGTTTGAATGCGGGCCCGCGCAAGTTGTAATACAAGAAATTCTTTGAAGTATGTCACACCAAATTTGAACGCGGGCCCGCGCTCCAACCGCGCCGCACTGCAACTGCCGAACTACAAACGAGGCGGCGCGGGTGCAGGACAGAAGCGGCGCGAACGCGGGCCCGCGCTGTTGTATTACTATGGCGGCCATATTAGCAAGACACACCGGACGCAGGGCGGTAGCAGCGCGTTGAAAGCGGTTTTCGAATATTTAAATTTTTGACAACCGCCCGCGTTGCAACTGCTTTGAAACTGTGCTGCTTTCAGTGTGCCTCAGCCGCGCTGCAACTGCCCGCACTGCTTCTGACCCGCGTTTGGTCTGTGGAAGCCTTTAACGTCATCGCTCGCGAGTGCGACATAAATCTATGAAAATTTTAGTTCTTGAAAGTAGGGGCGCTGTTCGTTCGTTCGTTTCAGCCAAATGACGTCCACTGCTGGACAAAGGCCTCCCCCAAGGTTTTCCACAATGAACGGTCCTGCGCTGCCCGCATCCAGGCTCTTCCCGCGACCTTTACCAGATCGTCGGTCCACCTAGTAGGAGGCCTGCCCACGCTACGTTTTCCAGCCCGTGGGCGCTGTACAATCTATCATACATTCATGTAATTTTTTACCCAACTGCCCATTCGCTAGCGAGCACACCTAATGTAAACTAATGGGAAGCACATACGTCCTGGTATCATTTGAGTTATTTTACTTTTTGTTTATTTACAGAATAAGCGAAGCAGCCACTGGAATAATGGGTGCGATGTCGTCTCGCCTGGCATACATCACAGGGTCAAATACGATATCTAGACCCACACAGGAAGAGTGAGTAATATTGCCCATTTAGCTATTGAACAGTTAATTTTTAAAGCATCTGTAAAAACACATTTTATGTAAAAACGTTTTTATATCTGATTGTAACTTTCAATGATCAAGGCACTGCCTATTGAGGTGAGTAAACTACATATTCGTGAATCCTAGAAGTACACTTTCATCGATACACATGCAAAGTTTGCTTACGCGATAGAACTACCATGCGAAACATTTAACAGTCGTAAAAATAACTAATTTGTCAGTTTATATACTTACTGCAAAAGCCATCTTATTTTTGGTATAATATGCATGTTAGATAGTTGGTACTGTAGAATACGGTACCTTACAGCGGGTTCATTCTCAGTATGGCTAGGTTTTAGTTGTAATCACCTTCATACGTAGATAATTCGATGATTATGTTGATGACATGCGCGTGATCATCTGACGCATCATTTAGTGAACGTAAAAGTATTCAATATGAAATCAATAATAATAACTCCATCTACATATCGGTATCGGAATTCTTTACGAAATTAAATTCTTTTTTAGTTGTAAAATACTTTACATTTCATCTGTGTGCCTACCATGAGTTTACGTTAGGTGAGCTCGCTAGCGAATACGTCAAAAATTTCTATGAAGATTTTATTTCTTGAAAGTAGCCGCTAGGGGCGCTGTACAATATGTCATACATTTAAATGTCATTTTTTTACGCAGTCGCTAGCGAGCACACCTAACGTAAACTCATGGTAGGCACACTGAAGTGAGGCAATAATGTCACGAAATCATTTTACATACATTTTCACTAGTGTTGGACTTTAGAAACTGAGCCAACAGTCTAGTTTAAATAAATAAACAATAACACTTTTTTGCGCTTACTCCATTTCTATAGTCTGGTCTGCGAGCACGTAGAATTTTGTCCAATGACCCCAAGCTACCCATCCTTATCGCTCGCTCGTAATTATATTGCTGTCGCGAATGTACAACGGGCGGCCGCAGTGAGTGTGCGAGCGCGACAGCATCATAATTACGCGCGAGCGATAAGGATGGGTAGCTTGGGGTCATTGGTCATTCTACGTGCTCACAGACCGGGCTTTAGGCATTTTAATTCCATGTTCAATCATTACATCATTTAATCCGCAAGTTTTCCTACAGGTATAATGCTTTTCATTCTAGCCTGGCTGTGCGGTCGAATCTCGACGCGCTAATCGCCCGCAGTCCGTCCGACGAGTTCATATTCTCGGTGCCACGAGACCCCTACCTGTCGCCGTACTGGGCCGACGACCAGCTGCTTCACCAGTTCCCGCCAGTTAGAATACTCGTGAGTACCCACTTAATTTAGGTCTGTAGCAGATAAAAGTATTAGCACAGAATAATAATAAGTACTACGTACAGAAGTTTTACTTCGCGAAGGTATTTAAAAAAATGTATGCTCAATGTCATTAACAATATGGTGTAATTTAGCCTGTCTTAAGAGTCAAGCACCATTTTGTTGACAAACGTCAGTGATCGGCACTGCGCCGAAGCTATAGGGCTGACTTCGGTAAAATGATGTGACGTGAGGTGCCAAACTGCGGAAAATGGCGGAGGAAATACATGATTTAGAATGAATTATCATGAATAATATTAACTACTTATTTACCTCTCAGTGTCTTGAGGTAACTTATAAAAGTACATTCTGTGTTTTTATTATTATTTAGGCAGTTAAATACTGCACAGTATTTAGTACACCATTTTCTTTCTTTCTTTTATTCCATCATACACAAGAATACGCGTGCGTGATTCAGTGTTCGCTCGTATGTGAGGCCTTGTCGAATAGCATCCTGTAGGTGGGATATCGTGCGTGTTTTGTTTTCGATGTAAACTCGCGGAGATGAACAGGCCTGGTATTAGGCTGATTTGCACCATCTTACTTTAACTGTAACAAACGTCAAAAATCTGTCGAAACTCCATACAAAAAGCACCGGTTATCGTTATAGTTACCGTTAGTTAGGTGGTGCAACTCAGCCTTAGCTGTGTGGTCCCGGCAGAGTAAAAAAAGACCATCCCTACTCTTCCAGAGGATGTCGTAAAGGAGGAAAAAGCGAACATCAGGCCACTCCAATCCGTTTAAGCAGAGAGTAAATTAGAATGGGTTATCCTCTTGCAATGGAGACAAAATAATGAAAATGAATTTGATAAACTTACCGACCTAAAATTAACCAAATACAAATCTAGTTAACAGCAGTTGAAAACTTTGCCTTTATAAAGTTTCCGCGGTTTTCATTTATGACATGTGATGGTTTCAAAAAACTTCTTTCCATTTTATAGCTCAATAGCACATAGCACTATGCCCGTGCATAAAACTACAGTAAAGCTTCAACCACATCAATGCGTGCAGAGCGCGTGGTTGAAGCATAATACGTATCTGTATTGACATAATTCGTTTTATGGCGCTCTTTGAAGCGATGTTATCTACTCTACCTACCATATGTTATTGCAGACCGTGCATTTGGACCCGTGCCTGGATGACTGCGTGATGTTCGCGAAGAAGTTGAAGAGATTGGGCAACGTCGTGGGCATCGACGTGCTAGAGGGACTGCCTCATGGATTCCTTAATTTCTCATTGGTGAGTTCCTTTACAATACTCACCGTAACTGATGTAATAAAACCAAATTTTCATCAGAAATGTATACTCTGAATTTGCATTACATGTAAATCTGGTATAAACTTATAGGGGTTATACGCCACGGCCTCGCGGTTTTAATATGTCCATCTTATAAGACTAAAATTAAATACAGAAAAGTACGGACGCCACATTTAGTTACACTAAAGCATTGGAGATATTGTGTTCACTGTACACTGTAGAAATATCGCTTATATTATCAACTAGCTGACCCGGCGAACTTTGTTCCGCCTTAATGGCAATAAATAAGCAGACTTTTTTTTTAAATTTCGAACGGGATAAATAGTATCCTATGTCCTTCTCCTGGCTCTAAACTACCTCCCTGACAATTTTCAGCTAAATCGGTTCAGCCGTTCTTGAGTTATAAGTGGAGTAACTAACACGACTTTCTTTTATATATATAGATAGATAATGTGTCAATAAGGGTTTCCTTGATTGCGCTTACCAGTTGGCGCCACTGTCTTAGCCACCACAAGCAATTTAATTTAAGTGACAGTACCTTCTCGCCAGTGGCGCCAACTGATGAAACCCTCAAGACACGAAATCTTAAATACCATAGAGATATAGAGAGATGCAACTAATGCGCTGAGTTCGAAACTCAATGTCGCATTAGAAATTCACACACACAAAGTAATCAAAATACGAGGGCTGCACTAAAAGTATCGGGAATGGAATATTTCCACTGTTCCAGTCATATTAAAATCTATTTAATTGCAAAGTCCAGGGTTTTAAAAATCGTATACCATTTATTTATTTAAAAAAAGATTCTCGGTCGTATCACAAGGTCTTGTCAAACTTGTTTAGTCGTTGAGAAAATGGAATTGACTCGAGAAAATTCAAGAGCGATGATTTATTATGACTTTTGAAGTGGTTTAACACAAAAACAGTGTGTTGACCGGATGATTTCTGCATTTGGTAATGAAGCCCCATCCAAAACCACAATTTATCGCTAGTTTCCTGAATTTCAACGTGGACGTGTCAAGCTCAGTGATGATCCCCGTCAAGGTCGTCCAAAAACTGCAGTCACCTAAGAAAACGTTGATGCTGTGCGTAAGCTGATTGAAGAAGATCGACATGTGATATACCGCGAAATTCAGGCAACTTTAGACATTGGCATGAGTCAAATACAAATAATCTTGCATGAACAATTAGGTGTAAAAAAGTTGTTTTCCCGATGGATACCGCATTCGCTCTGTGAAGAGCAAAAAGCAGCTCGCGTTACTTGGTGCGTCAGAACTCTCGGGAGATTACATGCAGGATCCTCAAATGCTGTATACAACATCGTATCAGGTGACGAATCATGGATATACGCGTACGAACCCGAAACAAAAAACCAGTCACGAGTTTGGGTGTTCGAAAATGAATTAAAGCCAACAAAAATTGTTCGTTCACGGAGTGTTGCAAAAAAAATGGTGGCCACGTTTGTCTCCAAAACCGGCCATGTTGCGACTATTCCTCTTGGGGGACAAAGAACGGTTAATGCAGATTAGTATGCTAGCATTTGTTTGCCACAGGTCGTTTCTGAACTCCGTAAAGAGAACTGCAACCGCCGCATCATCCTCCATCACGACAATGCGAGTTCTCACACCGCGCACTGAACAAAGGAGTTTTTAGAGCAAGAAAACATAGAATTATTAGTCCATCCGCCGTACAGCCTCGACCTAAGCCCTAATGATTTCTATACTTTCCCTTAAATAAAGAATAAATTGCGTGGTCAGAGATTTTCATCACCTGAAGAAGCTGTGGAAGCCTACAAAACGGCCATTTTGGAGACCCAAACTTCCGAATGCAATGGTTGCTTCAATGATTGGTTTCGTGTATGGAAAAATGTGTCAAATTTCGCGGAGAATACTTTAAAAAGAAATACATTTTTAAATAGTAATGTTGTTTCACTTCCTTGATTCCCGAAATTTTCAGTGCCGCCCTCGTATGTGCTTAATATCCTCTGCGGTATCAGCACTCAACATTCGAATAATCTTTAGTACATTACATTATGACGTCTCTGCTGTCATCATTGCTTTCACGAGCAATGTGTTCTGTTTTTGGGCATATTGTTGCGACACCGGCCCCGCCCCCTTGTCACGTCTCCCATTAGTTTCTGTGATCTGTGTTAAATACCTACGTTAATTAATGTTTGTTCCACAGATGGCCAAAGAAGCGAACGAAGGATCGAAGCTATGCGTTGAGCGCATCAAGCAACTTCTAGACCTCGAGGCGGCGCCGGCGCCCGACCGCGACTTATGAATGTGCGGCCTCTGCTGCCACACGTAGCCTGACGCGTGGCACCCTTAGGACGCCAAGTAACACCGTAGGACATTCCCTAGCTAGTCCAGAATGAAATAAGCCTTATGGTAATGTCATACGACCCAAATTACGGGAGCACACGTGGGAATAGCATTGGGTTCATAGGAATTTCGCCTCTGTTTGCATTGAAAGATTCGTGCGTTTTTGGTGCGCATGTTTGTGACACCTGATATAGAAAATTGGTGTGAGACATAGAGACGTCACATTGCGTACTTTATGGTCGTAAAATACAGATGATCTCCCGTTTTTTGCATCAGTTCTTAAAGTGAATGAACTAAATTGAAAGGAATGGTAAGTTAACAAAAAATACCAATCAACCAGGGCCATTATGAAATGGCCCTGCTGGAAGGGCTTTTCGGGTCTCGGGACCGGGTACGATTTTGGAATTACAAAACTTACGAGTGAAAAATTCATGAGTGTAGATCGACCACACATACATCTTAATTTTAATGTAATGGTCCAACGGCGAATATGTAAACAATACATAATGAAATGTCGCTAACCCGTCGACCTACAAAATGAGGAATTTCTTCAAGGAATTTTGAACTTTAGATCTGTATCATAAGACGCAAAATCAATTAAGTACTTGTAATTTTGTGATGTGTCATGCGCTGGCGAACTTACAACTATGACGTCGGTGACTTCGTCATACTCGCACAGTAAAGGTCGTGATAGTTGTAAAAGGACGTGAGTTTTCGGATATTTTAATCTATTGACTGTGTAAATCCATTGTCATCAGTAAGTTGCCTTGATTATTGACGTTTGCTTCTTCTGTCTATTTATTATTGTGCTATACCATATTTCAATTGGTGAGTATTTATTATACTCAAAATAAGTTTTATTTATTTATTTCATTAGCAAATTTGAGCTCTAAAATGAGCTAAAGACATGTAGATAAACAAAGATTTGAGTGACATGAATCTTCTTAATCCATCCATACATAAATCACAATTTACTAATTACTAACATCACATACATACTTTATCATTTAACGTAAGAAAGAAAGCATGCAATACAAATATGAGCATTTAGTTATTTATAAACAGCGTGTCGTTTTGTCCGAACGTTTTTTTGAAATGTGTGTAAAAAAATTCAAAATGCATGTTGCCAAAGTAAGAGTTCAAATCGAGTGTTTTGTAAATCGATTGTTTTTTCTGTGGTCTCAAACCCACTGTATTCGTATTTGTGTATTATATTCTATCTACTACTACTACTTATCTACTGGTATAACGCATGGTAGGGAAGAGGTGCGTGAATGTGTACAGTCAGCGTCAAATAGTTCATGACACCCAAAGTAACCAAAAAGTTTGCAACACGTCTTTGTTACAATTTGAAAATGCAGGTTCTGTTGTCTACTTTTAACATCTTTGGGTGTCACGAACTATTAGACGCTGATTGTATGTATCACATCATACATTATTAGTAGGCGCGCACACCGTTGATTTTTAGTTGGCCGATAGTTGTGCCCGATTTTAAATTGTATGAAGAATCGGCCAAATCGAATCGGCATAGTGTGCGCACTGCCATACATGCCCATACTGATCAACTGCCCGACTAAACTATCGGCCGACGAAAAATCAAACGGTGTCCGCCTACTCTTATAGTGAGACTTTAAATGTGCTTTCTGACATGTATACTAGGCCATCTCTGTTACGTCATATTATGTCACCCCTCACGCACCTCTCCGCTGGAATCTATTCAGATGCTTCATACCTACAGTAAATTACAAAATCCAATGTACTACGTACGGCACATGACATTCACAAGTAGGTTTAAAACTCAAATACAATCATGTTTCGTTGATAGTTGAAAGCTTAATTAACTTACGTACGTGCGAATACCCATATCCATGTTCAGGATTTTAAAAGGGAATATTGTAAATGCATTTTAAATCATTGTTGAGTTCCTAAGATGTATTTATTACGAACGAGATAGTAAATATTAATATGATATTGAAAGTAATGTTCTAATGTCCAATTCGTTATGTTAAGTAAAATAATAATCGATTCCATATAACATAAACAAAATGTATATTTGATGCTCGTCACTGAAAAGCAGAGAGTGAATTCTTCAATAGCTCGTAGAATATTAAACAACTCTAATAACTACATATTACATAACGCTTTAAAAACAAAATTTATCAACCAATTATAGTTTTAATAAAAATAAACTATTTAGTTATTAAATCTTTTTACTTTACGTAACGAATTATGTACCTAATATTTTATCGATGTTTATTAAATAGTTTTGGAGTTGCGATTTGAATAATGGAATTGATGAAATCGAAGTACCTGTACTGTATAAACTTACACGATGATGTTATTACGAGAAGTAATTAAGATTTTTAAATGAAGTATTAACCGAATCGTAGATGCTACGTAAAATACTTTTACTTGTTGTGTTTATTTGTAGTTTTTTATGATAATTATGACGTCGAATGTACCGTACTCGTTTTGTTAGAGAGCTAGAAGTAAATACTTTAAAACCTTATCTCATTTTTAGTATCTTTAAAATATTAATTAGTTGGTCTATTCTGCAAAATGATTTCTACATTTCCGCTCTACCTATCCTTTTCACACACTTGTGCGGTTGATATAATATAGTGAGCAAGAGAGACAAATATAGATAAGAATATTAAAATCGTTTTGTAGAATAGTGCTTTAGATGTTCGTTTAGAGTTGTATCTACAAAATTTTAATACCATGTTTACCTAGACTAGCGAAATATAAAATTATTTCTAACCTATCTCACAAATCTATGTGTAATGCAACTAAATAGTATTTGATTAACTAAATTGCGGTTTTAAAACTAGAAAAGCATTGAAATACTTGAGTCGGTATTGGCTTTGGATGTTACATTTCATTGTTTATTTTATCGTTAAATGAATGCAATATGACATTGTCTGTGATAGTGAAATGAGGCTTTGTGAAAGCATAACAGTATTCTAAAATGCACGATTATAAAATCAACTTGTAAAATATATTGTATGTTGTTATATCTGTTAGTGTAATTAAAGAATTTGTAAAAATGTATTTAAACGATATTTTTATAGCATAAAGATAACTGTCCACGTACATGAAAAATTATATAAATTACTTGTGGAAAACATAATCATACTACTAAATAATTTTAAAGGACGCAAATATGTCAGGCCTTAAATTGGAAATGAGAAAATTGTATTTCGACCAAAGAAGTCCATAGCAAAAATGTCTACTAGTCAGTTCGACAACATTGTACGTCTTATATTTAATTAAACTAATGCTAAAAATCTTTTGTTTTATTTACTTACAACTCCACATTTTGTACCATTTACCAAAGTTAGAAAAAGATAGCTCAGGTTCATTTGTTTTCCTAATAGGTACCTATAATTTTTCTCGATGATTATTCGATTTCCTGTTACTTCATAAAAGCCTGTCCTTGATAGTATACATACCATCTGCGTAATGCGTAAGCATAATCTTGATGGCCGTGTTCCCGATTGTTATTTTAAAGATTACTAATACTGATATTGTTGTGTCGAACTAACTAAACTGCATTACTGCCAAGTGCCAACCAATTCTGGGAAGTAATTTGAATAACAATAAAATCTCAATGATATTGTTAATTATGTTTATTTTATGCTAATGCTAAATTTGCAGTGAACATGATGTTTAACAGATACGGTTTAGAAAGAGCAGTGTATGAGACACAATTGACTTTTTGGTAACAGTTCATGTTATAATACAATGACTTAGTTACAATTATTATAATTTATGTGTATAGAAATCAGGCTAAAATATTAAATAATACAAAAAATTTAAACAAAACAACAAAAATTATAAAAAATTCTTTGAGAACCAATTTGTGGATATGGTGCAGAATAAGCCAAACTGGTTGAAATAAATTGAATTCGAAACCAAAGCTTATTAACGCCAGCACAATTAAAACAAGTTCCTCACCTAGTAACTTGAACAAACAAATCAATGGTCATTTACAATCGACTGTGAGATAATTACTTATAATAACTGCTCAATATTATATCGACAAATGTATACTAGAAGAGGATTTAGAAGATCTTCAAATCTGCTACATTATTTATTACATTATAAAGACAGTAAAAAAATGGACAGATAACTTAGAATGATATTTATGATATAGTTAAAAGAATGCCTAGAGCTAAGCATTATCATATATTTTTACACATATCATTAGAATGAAATTACCAAGAGAGTTCATTTACAAATTCAAAGCTATCATGAATGACAAAAGTCAGATGTCATTTCCTGTACAAAATGATACTAAATTATTCAAAACACACTTCAAAATGCAATACGCATTCAGTGAGCTCCTTTCGTCGACAAGCATTAACTATGGAAGTATTCTGTACAACATGAATGAAAAGAGTCCTGAAATGATCAGTCATTTTAGTTTTAACTTTATGGCCTCTAAACCATGACTTATTGTAAACTCATTCATTAATGTCTTATTTTTATTCAAAACTGTATGTTAACAAAGTGACTTAAGACTTATTATTTAATCACTTGCTTTTTCACAATAACAACCAAGTTGAGGCTTTTAGGAGTAACTATTTGGGGTTCCATGGAGCTCAATCGTGACCATTGGTTTTCGCATGTGGAATCGACCCATTGAGTAATGGTGCAGCGGGGGTTGTCTTTCTGATTGTCTTGAGGAGTACATGAGCGTCTGCAGGTTCTATTCGCTTGTAGTAGTGTTCTTTCGTCTCCACAATTTCAAACCCAAACTTCTTGTAAAAATCTATTGCGCCTTCATTATTTACTTGGACATGCCTGAAAAATGAAAGCAATACATATTATGACAATATTAATGAACATGGCATTCATAAAAATAAGGATTACTTGGGAATTGTATTTCAAACTGAATATTGAAATAAAAAGCAGATTTAAAACTTTTCCACACCTTCAGCTATGAACAAACTATATGCCCAACAAATAAGGACAAATCATTAATATATTGATGGTGTAAAATTTAAACAATAACAGCTTTATACTTTTAGTTCTGATAACAGTATCAATCTAACATGAGTGGTTATGTAGAACTGTGTCACAAGTACAATTCACACCAGTCCAGCTAACAGATAAGGAAATATAGCTAAACGCTATTGAAAATCTAATTGAATCAGCTTTAATTCATAAACTATTGTAATTTACACTGCCATTGCACGCTATATTATATTTCGCATGATAACATCAAAGTAGACAGCATTATTATGCTAAAAGCAGTCACTAGCTTAGCCTTGCCTTAACAACAGATTTCCTTAACCAAATAACAGATACATAACCTTGAATCATTGTTACAACATCAAAAAGGGCTTAGCAGGTTACCAATTATGCAGTTGAAGTGTTCAGTAATTTAATTAGCAATTCACGTGTTGAATATGAGTACTTACAAGAAAATGCTGTCGAAATTTCCATCTTGTTCAACATACTTGAGCACATGTTCTACCATCAATGTTCCTATGCCCAGTCTTCTGTATGGGTACAAGCATCCCAGCGTCATTATATACAACCGCCGGGAGTTCTCCGACGTATCTATCCTACAGCACACTGCCCCAACGACAATGTCATTGTAATAAGCTAGTTTTGCTAATTCACCAGCTTCTAAAACGTCTTTGTAGAACTTGTCGTTGTAAGACACTGGAAACACGACTGTATTCAGCTTTTTCAACTGCTTTATATTATGCGGTGTCACGTCGCCAAGTTCTATTTTAGCTCTGGAAGTGTAAAGATGATTTTTATACAATAAATTTGCACAATTTCGGTATCAACGAGGTTGCAATTAGGACTTGCTAGATTTGAACAAATCTATCGAGTGATAAGGATAAATGACTATTAAATACAACGCTGAGTGAAAATGTTACTTACCTAGTCATTTTAATAACTATTCTAATAAAAACACTACAATTTTAAAACTAATCTAACCATTTAACACAGTTATATCACACGAGATCAATCCCGCCATCTGCCACTAGCTGTCGCTCTGTTCGCCATTATTTTTGACAGCAGACTTTAATGTTACCATGCTGCTATTCAAATATTATAATTCGCTCAGCTTACAAAAGATGATAATATAATTTATCAACTATTTACGCCTTTTTCCGAAACAGTATGACCTACAAACAGTAAACATATGTTACAAACTGCATGTTAACAGAGCGACAATGCATAAAGGGCTTTTAATTTTTTATAAATCAACATTGAAGATGAAAGGAGAAAAATATGAAATAATACATTAAACTACTAAATGCAACGAATATTCTTTACTGGCAATTCTGTAGCTTTCGTTCAGAAATCTTATAGCGCAATAAAAAAAGCGTTCAGAAACCGAGTAGTAATATGCCATAGACTATAAAATTACTTTTGTAGGCAAAGGAAAAATATCGCAAATGTTGTCAAATTACGCGTGAGCTCAAGAGCTCATCCCGGGCCCCGGCTCATCCCTAATCCCATGCATTTTACCTTTACAAAAATAAAATGGCGCGGTGATTCGAAAAAACATCGTAATTCAATTGTTTCATTTGTAAAACGTCACATACTTCTGAAATTCTTCTAAAAAACGATAATTTCGTTATCAATTCTTATCGTTTGCGCAAAATGTTACTAAATCAGTTGCGACATGTGAGGTCTAAAGCAAACTTCAATAATTTCGTGCATAATCAGAAGTTTCATACTTTAGATCGAGCAAGATACCAACTTGCTACGTCTCACGAAGCTCGTATGTCTCCAAACGCCGACACAACCACAGTGAAAAATGTTGAAATAAGCCCTCCTAACAGCCGAATACTGGGTGAAATTTTCTCAACAACTAGAGTGGTGCCAATGGTTTTGTCTAACAAGGAGCCGGTTATTTTATCCTTCGACGATGTGCCTGGTCCGAAGACGTTGAAATACTTGTCGAATGTGCGGCAATATTTGTCACAAGTTGGTACTCAACTCATGGCTGGGGCTCTGACGGTTGGGCTAAATATTGGTAAGTTGAAATTACCTTTAAATACTTCAATTTACGTGTAACATGTTACCAATAGGGATTTTCTACCTTTAAAAATCTCTCAGGAACATATATCAACAACCGAAAGCCGCTAAAAAGCCTATCCGTGCTGTTCGACGAATATGGCCCAGTAGTTCGCTTCGTCAGCCCCATGGGAGGAGACATAGTCCTCATAAACCACCCGGACCACATCCAGAAAGTGTACACCATGGAAGGAGAAAGCCCCGTCAGATCCGCTCTGGACTCCTTAGAGAAATACAGGCTGGAACATAGGAATCATGCATTTAGCGGAATTTATTCAGTGTAAGTAAAATCCCTATCGTACGCTTTATCTCGCAGTTGTTGTGGGCGACACTAAAACATTACACAAATTATTTTAAATCAATAGTTTTTCCCGCGTAAGTGTCGGTCGGTCGCCGTAATACAAACTGTCCTAACTTTTCACTGGTTGGGATTTTATTGTTAGAAGCTGTAGATCCTGGCTACACAGGAGTTGCAGCGCTGGGAATAGTCCCGTAACTTTTCCCTGGATGTTAAACTATCTTCATTAAAATGCTGTATACGTCTAAAACTGCTGCTGCTCCTGCAGTTGCTAAGATACTTATAATCGGCCGTTTGGTGTAGTGGTTCAGAACGGACTACTATTCCGAGAGGTCCCGGGTTCGATTCCCGGCGGGGCAGAAATTGAATAGATGAATTTTAATTTTTGTGACGGATCTGCTGGGTGTTAAGTACTATGTATGTATGTACTTAAAAAGTACATATTATTATTTATTTATTTTCTCCCAGCCACGGCCCCGAATGGATCCGCCAAAGGAGCACCGTGTCGAGCCCGCTGCACGACGCGGTCGCGCTCCACATGCACGGCCTCAACGACGTCTGCGAGAGTTTCGTGCAGAAGGTCTACAATATGAGGAACCACCAGGACGAGGTGCCCAAGGACCTTATGAAGGATATCCATAAGTGGGCGTTTGATTGCATTGGTCAGTATTCTTAGCTAGTATTAATCTTTGTATTTTGAGATGCCAGCACCGCTGGTCGATTTATGACAGGGTCTTTCTTCATCAGGCAGTATTCCCGAACCAGTAAAAAATATAGTGTGGCACCACGCCCATTCACGAGGTGAACAGTCGACCTTTTAGGTATAGTCTGGTCCCTAAGCACGTAGAATTTTGTCCAATGACCCCAAGCTACCCATCCTTACTTATCGCTCGCGCGTAATTATATTGCTGTTGCGCTCGCACACTCACTGCTGCCGCCGGTCGCACACTCACTGCTGCCGCCGGTCGCACAGTCGCGACAACAATATAATTACGCGCGAGCGATAAGGATAGGTGGCTTGGGGTCATTGGACAAAATTCTACGTGTTCCGCGACCAGATCTTAGCAGGAGCAGAACGCGCTGGATGCAGGCAAGTCGTTAAAATGTAGACGTTGCAAACTTTTTGGCTACTTTGGGTGACACGAGCTATTTGACTCCTTCCGATTTCCCGATTCCCTTTAAGAAATAAGACAATCCAACTAATCACGTTTATTCAGGGTTAATCGTATTCTCGAAGCGGTTCACGATGTTGGATACGGAGCTCATCTACAGCCAGTGCGACATGTCGTGGCTGTACCACAGCCTGGAGAAGGCCACGGAAGCGATCGTCAAGTGCGAGTCGGGCATGCACCTCTGGAAGTTGTTCACCACCCCGGCTTGGTATTCGCTGGTGAAGAACTGCGATAGTTTGGACAGGTACTTAACATCTATTTGTCATCATTTCCAAACTTTTTTTGTCTATTCCAGGTGATCAAAGTGGACCCCAAGCGACATTTTGGTGTCTTTTGATCACACATGGATAAGTCTATTTTGATCACCTAGGAGGTGATCTTATCCATGGGTGATCAAAGGATACCAGTGTCGCCTGGAGTCCACTTTGGTCACCTGGGTGATCAAATTTTAATAGACCATTTTTTAACATGAACAACGAAAGCAATGTCTCAGATGGGAATTGAACCCAACCTTTCGCGTGCCGGGTGACTGCTCTCACTCAGTGTCTCAGCAGATTTTTTTTACATATTTAGAGAAATGTTTAACGCACTTATATTTTGTTGCAGTTTGATAGGAAAGCATGTCATGGAGGCAGAACAGTCAATTTCAATTAAAAACAAAACTGAAAATGTTTCAAGTAAGAATCTACAAAATTTACAGATAGCATAGCGTAAATATTAACATCACTAATTAGAACCTTATGCCATTAGCTGAGATAACGAAGATTTCTAATATAACTATCTTAGGGTAATTGTTTAGTTGAACAGAATAACTATTCTAAACAAATGTATTTTCAGGTCAACATTCTTTGATTGACACCATGTTACTGGGAGAGGAGAGAATGAATGCAGAGGATATAACCACAGTAATTATGGATATGCTACTAATTGGAGTCAACACGGTAATGATTTTGAACGTACAAAAATTTAAAAGGAGCGATATGATGTATTTAGAATTTTAGATTCTTCTTTATCCTCCTGAGACCCAGACCCCTAAAAATTGTCGGATTGTCTTGAATTTTGGAAGGCAGGCTAAGTTTCATATGTACAACTAACAAAAAATGCGAAAAAAAATCTAGCCCCCCTACATACGCCAAAATGGGGGGTGTCACCAGTGACACTACGGGTTTCAAAGACATTAAATTAATTAATATTTTAATTACTTCAGGTATGGTAAAATAGGTGTTTTCAGTTTCAAATTGATCTGCAATTGTTTAGAATCATATAAGATTTACTTTTTAACAGCTTTTATTGAACTTGTTACTACAAACTTTAATTTAACTTGCTATAAATGTGTGAATGTATGTTTGAGTAAAATCTTGGAAGCTGAATTAGAGCTACTTCCTGCCAACCGATTGAGCTGAAATTTTGCATAGACATGTAACTCAGATGAGACTTCAATATAATGAGGTCATGGAGCTGATCTGATGATGGAGACGGAAGGTAGCCATAGAAACTCTGTGACTAAACGATGTAACTCTGTCGAGTTTTGACTCATTTGATTGGTATTGACAAGTACTCTGGTCTTGGATGATATCCAGGGTCTGATCTGAGGATGGAGCATCAATTTTTTCATCATCAGTATCATATAATTGACTTGACGTTACCATCAGACAATCCTAAAAAGGACCATATTTCAAATCACGAGTGCCCAAAGTGTCACCAGTGACACTCGAATTAATTGACGAAAATACTTATTACAATAGAAACATTTTAATAGTTTTATCGCACAATCTGAGAGATATATTACCGTAGCACACAGAAAACACAAAACAATACCAAAAAACTTGTTTTAAATAATATTTTCTTTTTTTGGAATGTGTCATGTCGGAGGTCGCGCGAATTCAAAATTTCAATTAATGTTTACAAAATCAAAAACCCTTTCGTGCGAGGCATAGCAATTTTTTGGATATGTGACATATTCCAACGTTTTACACACTTTTATTAATTTTCATAAATACTAATAAATGGCGCTGTAAAAAAAATATATACACAAGTGTCACGAGTGACACCGGGGGTCTCAGGAGGTTATGTTTTCGTCTGCAACTCACACATTCTTGTTCCAGATTACCTCATCAATGGCATTCCTCTTATACCATTTAGCTAAATATCAGAGGGCTCAAAAACATCTCCATGAAGAAATTGGTGATCTGTCAATAGATCTAAAAGATTTTAAAAATATAAAGGAGAAGACACCTTATCTCCAAGCATGCATCAAGGAGAATCTAAGGTGATGATCAAATAAAGTGCTATAGGCATAAGGGGGCGTCCATAAATTACGTGAGACAATTTTGGCCATTTTTCAACCCCCCCGCCCCCCTTGGTGAGATTTGGTGAGATTTTGCCTGACCCCCTCCCCCACCCCCCTAATCTCACGTGATATTTAATAAAATGCCCATTTTGCAATGTCTATGCTTCGAGTATATTAGATTTATATGAAAAAATCAGTAACCCAGTGTAGATTTGGTGAGATT